TAGTCTAGTCTAGTCTAGTCTAGTCTAGTCTAGTCTAGTCTAGTCTAATCCTTTTATTTTTAATAAACTTTATCTTGAAATAATGTCTTTACTTATTTTCTTTGACCCTTCAAGCCTCTTTTGTAAATTGAATATATGAAGATTATTAGCCAGATCATTCTATCAGTTCATTGTTTGTATAACTGTTTTAAATATTAAGATATTTATAACTTTTCTGTAACTTGCCATTTTTAAATCAGTCTCACTTTTGTCCAGTAAAACTTGTTCCTCTTCCATAACATTTTTAAACATAATCTACCTATGGAGGTAGACTCTCTTAAAATTAGCTTCTGGGTCCATTGTTCAAAAATATCCTTCCATATATCCAGTGTTAACACATTTTGCTTTACTCTGAATTAATAAGTCAAATTCTAGTAGTATTGGGTAGTATTGGGATTTTTAGTTCCTTCTAGTTCTCTCTAGTTTCCAACTTCAAGATTCTATTTTACCATTTTTAAAAAAGTATTCAAAAGAAAAGTATGCTCTCATGGGACATATTATTTTAATTAATTCCAAAATCTTATTTCAAATTTATCTGAATCCTTACTTCAGTTGTAACTTTCTAAAATCAAAATTTTAACTATGGTATTCTTTTGCTGTTTATTCCAGTTTTTTTTAAAGAATAGAATATTCTTTACTGGTCAAATGTGATTGGATACATAAGAAATTTGTCTCTGGTGCATAAGCTCTCAGTACAAACATCAGTTACTAATAGTAGAAGGTAAAAAGAAAGATGAGAAGGATAATAGTAACTCAGCCCTAAATATCTTTAGACATAAGACAGTGCTGTGGGAATTAGTGTTTAGCAGAATGATGGCACGAGATGGCATGTGTCTAGTTGTTTTGGCATGCAATGCCTTATAGCGGTATCCTGAGGGGAAGAATTAAAACAGTTTATATGACACACAGAAAGTTTAAAACTTAAAACTTGTATTTAAAACTTCTTTTACTAAGGATTGAAAAAGCTCTGTAAGGCATTTATAGTTCTGTAAAAGGTCCTAATAGCTGAAAATCAGTTAACAAGCTTTTCTAACTGTGATTTTACTGTAAGGGACCTGCCCCTGGTATAATGATTTAATCTTGAAGGGGTTCCATTTCCCCGTTGGCGGCTGTAAGGTATTTTTAATCATTTCCTTTATTTTGAGAATTGTCGGTAGATTAAAGGTGGTTTGTATGTGACCTGCCTAAGGGGTGATTGAGATAGTAAGGAATAAAGTTTAGAAGAAGAATCTGATTTGTTATAATTTTCCCACAAGAGCAATTATATGGAGCACTTGAGGGTGATCTCAAAATTTCCCCTTGTCCAGAGTAGAATTATAAAGAGCCAGTCAACTTGCTGGCTATTCATTTTGCCGTAGTTGTTGGTTCCACTAAACTATATTTCATAACTTCCTTTAACAATAAAATAGAGGAAGTCCACACTCTTTCCTGATAACCATCAAAATACTTTTATATTAGCCTCTCTGATTTTGCTTATTAGGTTTTTTTTAGTGTATTAGATTCCCAATAGTTTTACTGCTTTAATGTTATTTTGTGTTCTAAACATAAGATTTTTCTTTTAAAATATAGCAAAATATTGCTTATTTCTCACCTTCTCTTACTTTTTTTTTAACAGTAATCCTCACATGTGGTACTCCAGATGATATCAAAATAGCCCTTGGGAATAAAGAGGTGGATGACAATATAGTTTTCATCCTGATAGATCTTTACAGGTACAAATTTTATAAAGCAAATAAAAAAATAATAAAAGAAAGCCACAAAATCTGGATACTTCACCCAAGATACTACTCAGAACCCTCAAACTCTCAGGATCCTAAATTGACAAATACCACCCATAAGGGGGAGAAGGGAACTGTATATATATTCTATTCCAAAGTAACTCTCAATTTAAACTTATTTTTAACTTCTGTAAAACTTATGCAAAGGAATATTTGCTTTTCAATCAGTGAATTCCCTTATGGAGAGAGACAGAATAATTTCTTCTTCCCTGATATCCAAGTTAGTAGTATTTATGCTCAAAGCTTGAGGGGAGAAGTACTTCTTTTAAAATCCCTGATTTCCAGCATGATTTGTTATGTACCCAGGGGTGTGATGCTGCAGGGCTGAAGATATATACTCTAGGAAGAAAATATCTACTAAAGTTCATTAGTAAAAGAAGCCAGCAACACCCTTCCATCCGAAGCATAAATTGGCTGCAATGCTTAAAAAAGTACCTGTGTGTGACTGCCCCCCCCCATCCCCCAGGTTTATGCAAAGAAAATATGCATATAATCTGTGAGGCTAGGAACAGTAGTGATAGAGGTAATAAAAGTAGAACTACAAAGACAATGGTTTATTTGCAAACAAAGGCTGTGTGGAATAAAGATTATTGATTTTATTTGAAGTGCTACCTTTCTTGGCCTTGTTTCCCATAGCACTTCTCGCTTTCAAGGATTATCATTCTTTTTGTTTCTAAGCATTTCATGGTGTAACTGGCATTTTTACAGCTTCTCTAAGGAGGTTCAGGAAAGATGAGTACAAGGGGTGTGATCTGTCTATCTTGACTATCACCATTTTTCTTTTTCAGTATTGTTATGGTATTTTCCCCCATTTGTTTAAGGATTTAAGGGGATAAGCAATAGAGTTTGCATCCATATAATTTATGTTCCTGCACATTTGGTTTTCCTAGGGTTTTGCTACTAATCTGAGATGTTTATTAACAAAATGCAGTCTTTGTGCCCTGTGCAAGACTAGAAAGAAGGCAATTATAGACCTGAGAGCTTTTATCATCATGTTGTAAATCTTCTGACACTAGCCAAGGCCAAGATTTAACAAAGAGCAGCAAAGGCTTGGAGAGTTCAAAGAAAGGTTGCTAGCCTTATAAATTATGTCAGTGCTACAAGAATACTAGCTTGAAGAACCGAGGTCGGAAAACTGAATATAATAATTGAAAGCATTCTATGGTTCAATAATTAGAGAATTTAATGAAGCTGTTCCTAAGTCTTAGTTTTCCTAAAACAAAGGAGAAATTTCCTAATACTGATCATGAAGAATAAACCAGTGGAATGGCTTGCCTTCAGAAGTTGTGGGTGACCCATCACTGGAGACTTTCAGGAAGAGAATGGACAGCCATTTGTCTGAAATGGTATAGACCCTCCTGCTCAAGCAGGGGATTGGATTAGATGACCTCCAAGATCCCTTCCAGCTCTGTTATGCTATATATGATGTTAGGAAGCTGAGAGTAGAAGTATTTATAGTGACAATGGGCTTTGATTGTGAAGCATGGTAGATGTGCAAATTAAAGTGCTGTTGCCATGGGGTTGTGTGAAATCCAAAATGGGCAGGGAACATGAGGTGCATGTTTGATGTGCATATCTTCCTAGATGTGGAATTTTATGAGGGGGTCTGGCATAGTATTGTGATTTATGAGATTTCCTTATCTTGAGGGGATTTTGCTTCCTGGCTAGCTTCCTGTGGAGGCATGCTTTTGTCATCTTTAGTCTTCATAAGATGAAAAGCTTTTTAGATTTCTCTATAACTGTTTGTGTCTTTTGCCTCAGGGATGACTCAGGTGGCAAGTCATATTTTTCTTCCAACAGAAGCAATCCAGTACACCCATGGCAGGAATTGAGAGAACATTCTTGCTACTCACAAGAAAGGTTATTTGATTCATTTGGTGGATTTAGGAATCCCTAGGGTTTGTTTTTTTTTCTGTAAATGAACCTTGTTTTTCTTTGGACACTGTAGTAGGAGTACAGCTATCATATACTGTTGACTGAATGGTACACAGTTTCTATCTCATATGGCGTCCTATTCCACCAAATAGACAGTTTTTTGAGGGGCATATACTGTATGCTACAGTGAGGTATGAAGGAGACATCTACCCAGCTGGCCAGCTCATCCCTTGTGGACAATGGGGTTTTAGATGTCTTAGCCAAATGGTTCTTGCATCCTATTCAGGAATCCAATTGGTTATCAACTAATTAGTAATAGTAGCAATAGAAGAAAAAATATTTCTTGAACAATTCTGTCCAGCCCAGAGGAGGAGCGAGACCGCGTGGTAGACCTAAACAACGCTGGATGGACACGATCAAGGCCGATCTAGAGATCGCGAAGGCAGACCCGACACACGTGGCAGACAGAGAGGTGTGGAAGCAGTACTCAAGGACATTAGCGGACCTCGCCCGAGCGCGAGACAAACGCTGAAGAAAAAGAAGAAGAAGAAGAATTCTGTCCAGCCCAGAGACATGTTCAGACAGATTTTGGGTTCAAGAGCAGCAATCTGAGATGAAAAAGAAAGAGGCAGAATTAGTGGAGGATTATTTGACTCCCCGGAGAGCAAAAGAAATACACCAGAAATTCTTGAGTTTGGCAAAAGAGATAGAGGGAATGCCAACAGAAAAAATGAAGTCCTGGAAAGCAAGGCTTCTTAAAAAGGGTGAGGCAGAGATAAAAGAAACCTTGCCACAAAAATGTGTGTTATATTTGTGATATTTACTCTCACAAGAGCTTGATGCCATTTTGGTAAACAGTATAATGGTGCCTAAAATAGTCCGTAGTATACTAGTGTAACAATATAAGGAGGTATAACAAATATTAACATTAAAATTCCAAGACAGATCTCTTCCCCCAACCCCATCCCAGAATAGGAGAAATTGCAGATGTGGCAGTTAGTGACAATATGAAAAAAAGAGTAGGACAAAGAGAAATTCTAAATGTTTCCCTTATCACTACTATCAAAAGCTAAGAACCAAGGCAAAGCTCTTTAGGTGAGCAATGGCCAACAGCTCACAGTGTGACTGTGGTGCTGGACAGCAAACTATAGCACATATAGAATGTCTCCTCAGGAAATTTCAAGGCACTTGGGACAATCTCATCACAGCCACATCAGAAGCACTTAAATGATTAGTTTCCTTAGATATTGAATTATAACATTTATTATCCCATTGCAATTCTAAAGCTCCATATTATGATGTTTTTATTATGGTTTTACCTTAACTTAATAGTTTATATCATGATGATGCTCTAATTAAACTAAATTTGCACATCACTGTGACTCATAAACTGAAGACTGGCTCCAACAGATGCTAGGAACAGCATCAGAACTTTCTGTCCAGAAAAGTGTAAGTGGTAGGAAGTGGTAGGAAGAGCTAAAATACTGCATGCAACCCTCTAACTCACAGGCCTCTGGTAGAGCACCTGAGATTGAGGAAGATACATACCACCCTTAGGGGACTGAAAGGATTTTTTACATACCATCTGTATGTATGGGCATGGGCACACACACATACACACACTTTATTTGACATGTGTCTGGCAACTAGCAAAGGAAAAAAGAACTATGGCATCATTTTTCTGTGCCATTTGTGCTGATTATTGTTTTCATGCTAGATGATGACAAACGTACTTGAAAAGTTTGTCAATCACTTTACCTATCATGCCTACATGTATTTAATGAGAAAAACATGATTGGCAGTTACTTGCAATAGAGGCAGTAGAAGTGGAATATATATAAAGGGTAGCAAGTTTCATGCTGGCATAGTTTTCTGTTGCCTCAAGGATAAGCGGCGAACACTTCAACTCAGTAGTGAGGAAGTTACACATGACACTGCAATTGTTTTACAAGATCTTTTGGCATGGGATATACATTCAGTCTGCTTGCAAGACTTCCAGCAATTTTAACGAATGAAATACAAATCTGCATAAAAAATGCAGGTTTATTTATCATCCTGTTACTTATTTAGTGCTCATATAGAGTTCAGTGAGTTAATATTATTTCAAAATTCTGTGTATTATTCCCTATAATGTAGACCACTATTGATATGAGAGATGGAGGTACCTAAGGCTAATGGATAGGTAACTTGTGCCTATATTTCAAGCAGTAACTTGTAAACTTTGTTGCACATGCTTAGCATGTTAGAAGTACAGGGTCACTTGCCATTGTGCTATTAGTACATGTACTCAATTTCTTAAGTGAACTATGCACAGTGTATAAATGATGGATCACAATATATCACTATACTTCCTCTTTAACTGGCTGCCTTGAAATGCTAAAACAGAAAGATAAGCATTTGAGAAGTTGTCATACGTAGCTGATAAATTGCATTTGAACCATTTCCTTTCCTTTCTTTATATAGACAAATAATTTTATGTACTTTATGAGTCTTTTATTATGCATTTTGTTCACAGCACTCACACTAACTTACACCATAAATTAAATCAATTCAATAAAGTTATGCTGCCTTTTATGTGGGGTAGAAAGGTTATTTGTGTTCCACATTTAAATGTTTTCCACATTTAAAACATACAATAATTATAAAACTATATTTCAAAAGAGTGTTTGCATTTTATTTCAAGGATTTACTGAAATGATCTTCCATTTCTAATATTTTGTATAAATTTCTTGCTGTTTTCCACATCTTATAAACATTTATGATGTTGAATGTTTATTGTATTGTTATATTTATGTTGAACATTTCTTATATTCCTGCAACAGCTCTTAGATGCATGAAGAGGCACACAAATGAATTTAATTAATTTAATACATTTCAGTTAAAATATTGCAACAAAATCCATTACAACAAAAATGAAATCATGAAAAATTATTTCTCTGATATTGAAAATTGGAGATGATAATAGGTTGGGAAACTGTTAAGACAAAGTGTTCTGTGAAACACTGATATTTTACCTCTAGGTACACTATTCTTTTCAAAGGTAGCTTTTGTTGGAAAATTTAAAAATGCCTTTTCTCGAGATGCTCGGGCAGACTAGATGTAGGTAGAATGATTGCCATTTATGCTCCCTGTTCGAAGGGACTATCATTTGAATGAGACAATGAAAAAACATGGAACTATTATATGATATGCATGACACTGGAATCCCTGCATGTCCAGATCAAATCCTTTGATTTTTCACTTGCTTCAGTATTGAACAAATGATCATATAGATCCCATCTTGATTTATGAAATGCTACCTTTATGTCACATGTATATGAGCTAAATATTGTTTCTACCAAGTAGATTCTTTTAAAAAAACCTAGCTTCTCTGCTTTGAAAAATGATTATTTTACTAGAGAAACTCTCTGTGGTAGCTGAATAATGTTTGACTGTTAATTCTTCTTGCTACTTACCACATATGGGTATTTGTGCTTTCTTTTCAGTAACATTTCTTATGAAAATAGTCCCTCAGCTAGTTACATGCAGCATGTCCTTGTTCTGACTCTTGCACCAACAAATTACAGCTCAAGTTTAAACCATAATAGGACTATCATGGATACTGAGAAGATCCATTTGGTAACTCTTTTATTTGCATTCCTGTATACAAGAACTTTTTTGGCTTGTTTCAGGGGCTTGATGGCTGAACTACATCTACCAGCTGCAGTCCAGTTGCTTTGAACATTGCTAGTATTGTTGAGTCTTGTTCACTTTCCACCGTAACCTTCTTTGCCAATTATCATCTGATTCTGTACAGGTTCCCCTCCTAAAGTTACTCACCTTGCCCAATACTTCGCATGGTGTACAAATTATACTCACATAATCCATATAATTTTCTGGAAGAGGACAAGGTTTATTAATTTGTTTAAGTAGTTCATTTACTTGGGATTTTTTTTCAAATGAGCCTCAGAGGGGAGAAGGGCAGTATTAAGAGGCACAGACAAATGTGGGCATGTCCACCCATATACACAAAATATGAGTATTTATGTAGTATTCTAATAAAACTTGAAGGAGAAAAGCAAAAAAAGCAGTACCAAAGCAATGACTCAGTTGATACCCTAACAATTTAGAGTAAAACACATCCTGAAATGAATAAAAATACACCATATACAACTTTTCATCCAAGACTGTCTTAGGATGTAACTCTCCTTTTACTGCTTCTAGCTGAAAAATGACATTCTTGTGGGATACTTGAATGCTGTTTTACTCTTTGGACATGCTTTGAAAGTCCTTATGTCTAGACAAGAATCAGTTTGTCCTGGTGATTTCCTTGACCAATTCCGGAATACCACATTTCAAGGTAATTACAGGTCTTGTTTCTTTTAGTTTATTATTAGGAGCCTCTGTGGTGCAGTGGTTAGAGTGCAGTACTGCAAGCTACATCTGCAGTCAGCTGCCTACAATTTGGCAGTTCAAATCTCACCAGGCTCAAGGTTGACTCAGCCTTCCATCCTTCCAAGGTGGGTAAAATGAGGACCCAAATTTTGGGGGGCAATATGCTGACTGTAAACTGCTTAGAGAGGGCTGTAAAGCACTATAAAGTGGTATATAAGTCTAAGTGCTCTAGCTATTATGGATAGCCTGTGCAGCAGAGGTGGTATTCAGCAGGTTCTGACCAGTTCTGCAGAACAGGTAGCAAAAATTTTGAGTAGTTCAGAGAACCAGCAAATACCACCTCTGACTGGAGATTTTGCAGTATCCTTCCCCTGCCACACCCACCAAATCAGGCCCACAGAACCGGTAGTAAAAAGTTTTGAATCCCACCACTGCTATGCAGGCCTCTTAAAATAGGACAGCAACTCTTAGGATTATTGGTTAACTTTCTAAGCATTGCAATCCATAAATGTCTATAGGGATCAAATTGGTAGTGTGCAAAATTAAGTACCAAAAATAGAGTTTATGAAGAGGTTTCTTAACATTACCTTACAAATAATGAGGATGAAACATCTTAACAATACAGGACAAAAGAAACACTTTTTCAAAAATAATTTGATTATACTTTACTATGTATTATTAAAACTTTTAAACATGTAGGTAAATAAGCCCAAACTAATAAATAATAAGCTAAAGGAAAGGAAAGGAAATAAAGGAAAAAGCATAGTATAAGAAAAGAAAAAAAGTATGTTCATTTTTTCTTTTCTTTTTTACACAAAAAGTCTATAAAAGGCTTCCAGTCAGCCATAAGTATAATCTTTTTTCTAAATGAGACTAATTTATTAATTTCAGCAAAATTTATCAACTTTACTAACCATTTCTCCAGTAGTTAGTGTTGAATCTTTCAATCTCTATGCATATATAATCTCACTGCTGTGATCATGTATTGAAATACATTTCCTTTCCTCTTTTCTAACTACTTGTCCATTAATCCTAAAAGGAAAAGTTCTGGCTTCAATTTAATATTAATCTTTTAAATTCTCTGTATGTCTCTCAATCCATTTTTATAACTGCAGGTAGGAGATCCATTGATAATTATATCTTTCTGCTATTGTTCTATGATTTGAATTTTAAATTCTCAATAATTTTCCAATAGGTTGTGTTAAAACAACCATTTATCTGCCATCCAGTACAAATTGTCAAAGGCATTCTCTGTTTCTAACTAATTTGATTATAATTTACTACTAGTAAATTAATGTCACTTGTTGACTGAAACTTACAGGTTAATATGATTTTTTTTTATTGCTTAGGTATTTTAGGTCCTCAAATCTTAGATGGATATGGGGATATTGATGTCAATTTCAGTATTCTCTACACATCAGTGAATAACAAAGAAGTGAGTACAATCTTATTGTGAAACTATACTTTTAGAAAGAATTAATGAACCAAAACCAATCACTGAGTAGAGGTTCAATCACTTGGAGAAGTTAATCATATAGTTGTTCAGCTACTGAATCATGTAACATTGCAGTATTGATTTTAAGGGGGTGGGGAGTTCATGTAGGCTTCAAGAACAGCCCCAATATAGAGTAAATTCCAGTGGTTCAAACAAGAAATATCCAAAAGTGTGAATGATATTTCTGATACAGAAATGTTCCAACTGGTACACAAATTAGTGCAGGTGTATATCAGAAGAGGCTATTCGTCTTGCTAACTATATTAATTTTTATCCTTATATATAAAGTTATTAAGAATTATACAGTACTTTGCCCATAAATATTTGGACTTCCTAATAGCCTTGGGCCCCTGAAGTGTCTCCTTTAATTATTGCCAGAATTTGGTAGCATGAATACAGAAATGTTAAAATTTGTCACCAACATTAGGAATTAAAAATCTATTCAATTATTTTTATCTGTAGCACTTTAAATATGTCTTAAGTGCTTACATTTTGGGAGGAAACAGATTAGATAAAAGCCTGTGTTACAATTACTATTTTCATTTTAATCAGAACAAAAACACAAGACACTACATTAAGATAAATATATTAACTAGCAGATGTACATCAGGCAGGATTTTTGCCCATTGTACCTGTAGAGCCAGAGATTAAATCTGCAAATTTCTGCATAGAAAGCACATTCTGGATGTACTATTTAGAGTAATTTGAAGCTGGTAAACACTGTTGCCTGATTAAAGTGAAATAGGAAATGTAGAGTTTTCCTCTTATTGTTTTTGTTGTGCCTTTGAGTGACTGCCTAGACAAGTCTCTGCAGTTTTCTTGGCAATGTTTTCAAAAGTGGTTTGCCATCATCCCCTTTCTAGGACTTTTCCGGTTTACTGCAATTCAAGTAAAGGAAATCAATGGGGCTTGGTCTTTAAGCAAAAGACTCCTTTATGCTTTGACTAATAATTTACACAAGAGCTCAATATGAAATAGGTGGGATACAGAAAGGAGGCTGAAAAGATCAAAGAAGGAGACTGAGAAAATTACTTTTAATCACCAGTAAACTAGGGAAAAGAAGCATCAGAGTGAAACTTCCTTCTCTTTTCTTCTTCCAGTTTAAACCCCTTCTGTGGTTTGACACAAATTTGAACAAAACTGTTGTGAAGACAAAGACTCCTGAATTCATCTGGAAAAAAAAACATGCTACCTCCAGATACTCCTAGCAGTGGTAAGTCAATCTAATTCTTAAGAAGGATATCTAAAAATGGAACCACTCATTTGCAATTGTCATAATTCATAATGTGTATTGAGGATGTATGTAGCTGTTTGAGCCACTTCTGAATACTATCTTGTTGAAAATGTATCAGCCCCTTTTGCCTAGATAACAATTCCGGCATACAGCTAGTTGTCAGCATTCCAGCAAATCTCCGTTCCAGCCAATAACTCCGAGACAGACTTCTCTCAAAAGTTCCTTTTATTTGGACAGTAACTGGCACACAACTGTGGAATCCCAAATCTGAAAGTTCCCGGCTTCCTTACAATAAGTAAAACTACAAATCTATCCCCTGCACCACATCACATGGCCCAATCACCATCCGTCCCAAAGTAAGACTTCCTTTCACTATGCGCAACATGACCTGACCTTGAAAAAGAAAAAGAATGTTATCATGTCTAACTAGATCTGCTCCAATGAATTCCCCCCTCCCACTTTCCCGGGCTCAATTGTGGCAGCGTGGGAGCACCGGATCTCAATATGGCTTCCAAAGCTGACACTAGTCTTTGTCTGAAAGCAACTTTGTGACTAATCCTCTCATTTACAACATTTGCAGGTCTTTAAAGCAAGGGAAGGTTGAAGTAAGAATAGTTGCAGGTTTATTAACTGCTTTGCTTAATGACCAAGTTGCCAATCACAGTTGTGGTCACTAAACAAGGACTACCTGCATTTCAAACAAGGTTATGTTCCGTAAGCGCTACAATATGAAATGCAAGCAATAATAAATTCTTTTTGGTTTTCTGAATTACTGGTTTGTTATTTTTCTCCCATAATCTCAAACCAGCTATAGATGTGCAAAACAAGAACAGACAAAATGGAAGAAACCGGGAATTGATCCAATAAGACATAATTACTTTGCTGATTTGCATAACTGCCTTTGGCTTGTTCAACAAATAGCAGTTTAAAACAAGGGCTTACTGTTACATGAGAACAGTCAATGAAATGTGTATCAATAGGATAGATAACAATATCACACACATACACACATACACACACATGTTTTTTTTCTGTTTTGAATGCCAACCTCAGTTCCAAAGCAACTTATAATTAATCAAATATAAAAATCAAATACAAAACATCATAGAGGATTTACCATATCCACAGAACCATAGAACTTTTTCAGGCATTGTAATGATTTATTTGGTTTAACCTGTAATTATCCCCTTTCTGCATGAACAAGAGCTCATAGCTAGGTTCATAGGTAGATGGAAAGACAAAAATACCAGGAAGGGAGAGAGAAAAAAAGGTTACTCCCTTAAAAAGAAAAGGAAGGGAATCATTAATACTAAAGCTTTTCCTTTAAAATAAAAAGCAAGCGTAGAAATTTAACTTCCAAAGACAAGAAAAAAAAACAAAGACAAGTTCCAAAGAGCCAAAAATCCAAATAGCTATTGCAAAAAGTAAACTGATGAGGAGGGATAGCGCAGCTTAGAAAAAATAAAAAAAGCACACTGCACTTTGTTTAATTATCCAAGGCTCTTGTTATAACTCTCTTCTCCAGAGACTTATCACCTTTTCTTTTCCTATAAGCTTCAACACCAGACTCCAGCTGTTGATAGAAACGCAGAAGAGCACCTGCAATAATACTCTCCCATGCTCTTCCCTCTATCTTATCAAACAGGAAATGTCCTTGAAAAGAAGTATCAGTTCCCCTCTCAGCTTTGTCTGGTCAAAAGAGAAATAGAATATTTCCAAGCCTCTAGTTGGCAATGTTACAAAGTTTCTTTTACTTTTACTTTCCCCCTCCTTTTCCAAGCAAAATATAATAAGAATTAATTAAAAAAAGAAAAATATATTTTAAAAAAATAACTAAAAGGGAGTCTCTAGCCTAAAATATTATAAAGTCAAAAAGGAGAAAAAGAATAGATGAAAGAAGAGAAAAAAACCAGTCCAGTTTCAAAATATAAGAAGATCATGTGTAGAAAATCCAGTAATGAGAAAATAAAAATAAAAATATTACTTTGACATTCCTGTTTAAAATCGCCACTTAATCACTTCTGTCAAAACTTTTACAGATTCTTTCTTTTCCTTAGGGTGTCCTTTCAAATCTTAAAATAAAGAAAAAGTTCTCACCAAACCGGCACACTCTCTCTTTCCGTTCTCTTTCGTTTCGGAGCTGTCCCAACTTCAGCAGCATTAATGGCTGCCTCTTTGCCGCTGGCAAAAAGAGCTTCTCCTGGATCTACCAGGGACTTTGTGGTATCCCTGGGATTGACAGGATGTGCTCTTTACATTCACCTTCTCTTCGGGTTGGTTTAGATCCACTTGGACCGTCCAGGAGCAAAGATATCGGCAGCGATCTCAGACCTCCAAGATCGCATGCCGTATCGTTGCAACGCCAGCTCCGCCCTTCCAATAATATTCTTAAAAGCTAGAATACATTAGATATTTAGTGAATAGGCACGCACAGTATATTCTCAAAATTGTAAATGTGCCCCCAGCTGGAAAGGATTATGGACCCCTCACCATAACTAGTGCTGCTGCAGCACAACAAATGATCATGTTGGATTATGCTACTGTGGAATAACAGACAAGGCTGAAAAAACACATTCACTTCTTAGCATAATTGTGAGTCATATATATTATCTAGTGTTAGAAGAAAAGTGACCCTGATGATCTGCTCAATAAATTTATCAACAGGTAAGGAATGAATGTGCAGGGTTTATAAAATTTTATATAGTCTTCCTTATCCTCCTAACCGCAGATGTTACACTAACCTAGAATGGCTCTCAAAATAAGATGTCCCAGAGGGAATGATACAAACACACATGCTTTGATCCCCTATTCCTCCCCCCTCTCTAAATGTCAGCGGTAGGAGTAACTGATAGCTGACTTACAGTATTAGCTTAGTCTTCCTCAAATTACAATTCTCCAATTGTCTAAGCTCACACATCTGGAGCCCAGCAGATTATTAAAAGGCCTTACACAGAGGACTCAATAAGCATAAAGCTATTTATTTAGTTCAGGAAGTTATCAAAATTTTATCAAGGTGGGTGGGGATTTTCCAGTTGTTTGTTTCACTCCTGATTCCTGTTAAACTTTAATCTTGCATGCTATAATTTTCATTAGGTATGGAAAGGTCCTGTCATTTTCCGTACCAGCTTTTATTGTCATCCTTATAAATATGACAGATCTATGGTATTTAATGCGCCCTTTCTGGGAAAAATATGGTATATCAATAAATGTCAAGATTCTGATAAATATGGGGCATTTTGGATGCAGACTGAGAACAGACTGCAAATACATTACCCAATAGCTGATGTGCAGCTTTCAAACTTACATACTTTCAGTGTAATACCAGTACTATTCTTTTTTTTAAAAAAAAATCTTGTTCAGAAAAGCATTCCAAAAGGATTTCTGGTATATATTTCCTGAAGTATAGTACCAATAAAATGTTCTATCTATAGCCAGGGATGGGATTCTACTGGGTCGGAGCGGTTCTATAGAACTGGTTGTTATGATTCTGTGCAGTTCAGAGGACTGGCAAATCGTGTGTCTGGATGGCCCCACCCCTCTCTGCCTGCCTCTCCCCTCCCCTCCCAGTCAGTCCTTATCATGCATGCGCCACATCGCGCGTATGCCCAACATCACTGACAGCATTCTTCCCCACCCAGTCACTCCTTAAGGTATTTCTTTTTTTCCTCTTCCCAACAATCATCCGTTCCTATGATCAGCTGTGCTGGGATTCCCCTTGCTTACTTACTGCTTCATCCAGGAGGCTTCCCTGAGGCGCAGGAAGACAAAAAATGGAGGTGGGCTCCATTTTTTCCTTCCTGGGCCCCAGGGAAGCTTCCTGGGAGCAAAAACACCCCTCCAGGAAGCTTCCCTGAGGCCTAGGAGGTCCAAAAATTGGGTGGGGGGATTGTTGCCAAAAAGAAGAAAGCCATACCTATCCAGTCACATGACCATCCCCACCTATCCACGCCCACAGAACTGGTTGTTACAAAATTTGAATCCCACCCTGTCTATAGCCAAATTAAATTGTGCCATTGTGGCTCTAGAGACTGCTGTTCTGTCTCTCATTGCACTGTTTATAGCACTTTTCTCCACCCCAAAAGAAAAAGGTTTATTTAAACAGTAATAAGATTCAGTGCAGAAAATAAAAGAAGAACCTCTCCATCGATATCCTGAAAATACAATATGTTGTTTTTGCCTTATATAGTTCATTTCCCCATTTGATCAGAAATTCACAAAACTAATATTATAATAATGCCTGCTATTAATATTCCAATTACATCTTAAATTGGGAAGAAAATTAGGTAGGAAGGCATCCAGATTTGTCCCGTTGGAGTAATTGTAGCCAGTAGGGGGCAGCAGCATACCAGAAATATATGGCCTTGCTATTCTATATTCTAAATGTGAGCTTGTAATTTTATTTAAAATGTGCTTGGAGGTATTTAGTCCCCTGTCATTAGTTTAGGGTGCAGGGCAGGCAAGATTTTTGTAACCTGCCAAGTACATGAGCATGTCATTGCTCTATTTATTGTTGACCTAACATCCTGCTTTTCTAATAGGAACAGCCAGCCCAGATGTTCTGACAAGTTTGATCCTGTCACAGAATTAAGAAAATAGGGCTGATCTGTAATTGAAAATGTAGATGAATTGGATAGATGTATCAAAGCAAAATAAATAAATGTCAAGAGCTGTCAAAAGTAGTACTAAATATAAAAACTCCCAAAAGAATTTAGCACAGAATCATTATAGCTTTGGTAGTGATCCATTCCTTCCCTCTTTCTCAAAATTGGAATAAGTAACTAGAGCCAGGCTTTCGCTAACTGTACAATTGGGACTGGAGTCTTGGTTGATGTCTCACATAAGACTGCTTGAGCAAAGCAGTCTTATGTGAGACATCACATGACCACTTCACTCAATAACCATGATCCCAGCACTGCCAGTTTCAGTTTGAAGTGATCTCAAGAGTTGTTACGTGAATGGATTCCCAGGTAACACGCGTAGGGGTGCAGAAATGGAGAGACAAGGAAAGAAAATCCAAGCAGGCTAAATTCAAGTTTAGCACGGAGCTAAAATCCTTTTCTCCCTGCAGATCCATCTCTATGGAACAGCTCCGGGGAGGGGAGCAGGGAGAAAAGGATTTTAGTTCTTTGTTTAGCTCTTGTTTTAACAAACCATGGTTAAAACAAGACTGACACAATATGTGAAAAATCAACCTAGCAATTATTTAGGGTAGACATTAGGACAAAACTAGACAAATTCATTTAAGGCAAAATACGTGGCTACAAATCCAGGAGCACTGTTAGGCCAAACATTGTTTTTCTGACAAAGTATCAGTTTGAGAGTTTGCTTCCTAAATCTCTGATGGTGAGATATTGATGCTAACTTCTTGAAAGACTGGATTCATTACAGTATCTTCAAAACAGTGGCTTAAGAATGGTTGTTGTGTAAAATTTATTATTTTGTTGTACAAGCTGTGTAGAGAAATACAAGTTAATTTTGTTATACTATGATTTACCTCTTAAACTGCATTTTAAGGAACTCAGTTTACCCATTCCTCTTTTTATAGGTCCCCACATCCTGACCATAGCTGTTTTCACACTTACTGCAATTGTGGTGTTAGTTCTGATCATTGCTTTGTTGGTACTGAGGTATGATTGTTTACCTTGTCCTCCTTGGGCTAAAAATAGGGAAATTGTAGACAACCTCAGACTGGGAAGGCCAGCATCAGCCCACAAATACCTTCAGCTTCTTTCAAGTCTTCCTTCTGCCAAAAAAAAATTACTCTGCACAAATATCTTAGACTGCATAAATCCCATCACTCTTTTTTGGACAAGATTCAAATTTATAATTACTACTTGTCTTTTATTATTTTTCCTGTTATGAGGTATAATAAAAACAAAACAAAATGAAGAATACAAATGCTAATCTAACATAAGTAAGAAAAATAAACCTCAGTCAAAATAACAAAAAATATTAATCTTTTTAATTGCAGCTGTGACTCAGTTTTTAAACAGTATATTAAAACTTACACACACACACCCAGAATTATATCATAATTTTTTCATATGTTTGATGAAAAGGCTCAATGTGAATACAGGTAGTCCTCAAGTTATGACCCTAACTTGGAGCCTGCCCATTAGTGTTGAAAGTCAGAACAATGTTAAATGAACTAGCTAAAGTAACAACCAGTCAACCCTGCTCTCTCCAATGCTTTCTTTAAATGAATGCATGGGTTGTTAAGTGAGGCTTAAGTTAAAGTTGGGTAGATCGTGGAAGGCCTTGCTTGTTAGATTAGAGTCGATTGAAGAAGCAGGACATGAAGACTAGTGACTACAGCTCTTTATTGAGTAGATCATTACAATATTCAACATTGCTCATGCATAAGCCCGCCTGCTTCAGGCCTCTCAAGGTCTCCCCCAGCCTGAAGGCCCACTACTCAGCTGATTATCTTACCAGAGAGAAATAATGGGGAAGGAAAACAGTAGCCACGACTGCCTTTCCTAATGCTGCCCCTGTTCTTCCTCCTGCCAAGGTGTCCTGCCTTTCTGGGGCAAAAAAAGGACCAGTTGCTTAGCTTTTCAGAGCTTTATGCATTAGCAGATGGCTACCAATCAACCGGCCAATGGGAGGCTGCAAAGCTCTCCTGCCTCCCTAGGCTTTGGGAAGCTGGCCCTTGCATAAAAGGCAACTTCAGGATAAGCTTCCCAAAACCTTTCCCTTGCTTGATTCCCTCCCTCTCCCCACATCCAGGAAATCACATTTCTTCAATTAAAAAAAAGAAAAAGCAACACACACACACACACAAAAGCAGACTTGTTGAACCCCCCCCCCCCCATTCTGATTAAGTGTTGATTTCAGGATGAAGAGTGGAGGAACTCAAGCAAGCAAGGAAATAAAATCTTTCTGCAGCTTTCCTCCTTGAACTAAAGAAGAAAAAAAGTCATCTCCAAAAGTTGTGCAACAAAATTGAGGATGCTGGGTCCTTGCAAGCTTTAGCTGTCTATCTGACTGCCTAGGCTCTATAGCTAAAGCCTGCAAAGACTCAGCATCCTCCATTTGGACATGTTGATCTTTCTCCTTTCCCTCCACCCTCCCAAATTAAGGGCTATGTTGTATGTATGTGTACATGTGTTAAAAGGTTAACATAGCTTTATCTTCCTAAAATTCCAAATTCTAATACTTTCAGAATTGCTTCTATAATACTTCTAAATTTTCAGGAAGTACAGAAGAGCCAATCAATTGCGGCAAAAGAGATGGTCCCATATTCCACCTGAGAAGATACTACCATTGAATACTAATGAGTCAAATCATGTTAGTTTGAAGGTAGGAAGTGACAGACATGTCTGGCAAAAGTTTCTCCCCACAAAATATGAAGTAAGCTGTACATTCTTCACAATGGTACATCGGATATCACTCTGACAAGGCCAATTGCTCAGTTTATTATATGTGCATTAACAGTTTTCTCATGATTGTATAAAGCAAGTAGACATTTCCCTTTCAAAAAGACTCTACACCAGGGTTGTCAAACTCCAAGCTCATGGGTTAGATGCATCACGTGCTGGCCCCACCCCCACCTGGTTTAGCAAAGGGGGAAAAATCCAGATATGTCACATGACACTGCCATGATGATACGAGTTTGACACCCCTGCTCTGGACCATGTGATAGAAACAGTAACATTTATTAGTTTACAGATAGTGGCCAATATTATTCTTCCCCCTCACCTGCCATTTCATCCTACCTGCCAAGTATCTCCAATAAATCTTGCAAGGGAATTGGGGAAGCAGGTGGCTACAGCACCTACAAGTGTCCCATGCATATGCAAATATGGTCAGCATGGGCAAAATGGCAGCTACTATTGACTAGAGGGAAAGAGAGCAACAACTTAGATTTTCTAGTAGGAATAAAAACACTGCTTCTACTGAAATGAAATGCTATGGATAGAATTCATGCACTTCATGGCTTATGCATTATCTCATCTGAGATGAACAAGAAGGGACAGGCTATCTTTGCAGGAGACTGAACTGAGTATAACATCACACATTCCTGTCCTCAACAAATGGTTAGTGGGGAACTTCACACTGGAAAAGCAGGTTGTGCAGAAGAACTCTTAATTGCAGCTTCACCTGAAATTGGAATCTAATTTTATTCTCCTCCCTTTCTCCCATTTGCTGATTACAGCTCTTTCATGAATTATGTATAGTTCCAAGGACAGTGAGTGTCAAAGTTGCAATACTATTAATTTTATCTGTGGGACACAGACTATCTATTAGCTCTCCATGCTTTACACAACAGTATTTCATTTAGGAATCAGACTACCAATTGATATGGCTTTGATTTTGTTTAGGCATTAAGTATTCTCATCTATGTTCTTCTAAGGAGCACGATGGCTTGTGTGATTAGGACACTGGTTGGAGGTTAGGAAGCCCATGTTTGAGATCCGAGTACTACTTTGGGAGTGGGGTGAGCTCTTGTCCTTCGCTCCAGCTTCTGCTGGGCATCTCTGGGCAATGATGATGTCATAGCTAATCCTTTCAACCTGGAAGTACCTTGTTGTTTCTTACATCAGTGTGATGCATTCTATGTTCTTCCACAAAAACATAAAGAACATCTTGAGACCAGAATGAGAAATAAAGGAGAAACAGCACTTATTATATCAAAATAATATTCAAGTATTTTTAATATTATTCAAAAGTATTTGGGAAGTATTTTTAATCTGTTCCCCCGACAATCTTCCAGCAGCTGGGTATTGCATTTTAGTTCCTAGTAAACTAAATAATAATTCTAAGGCCTAGAGGCCTTATTGAAGAATTCTAAAGGAGTCCTCTTGTTTCCCAGATTGATGAAGATAAAAGGCGGGATACTGCTCAAAGGCTGCGTCAAGGCAAATATGATAAGAAGGTATTCTTACTCTCAGTCTTTCTATTCTACTTGCCTTCACTAAAAAATGATCTGATGCTCTTGTGCAAGACAGATTTCATGATGTCGCTCATATTCTCATTTTGTTGTAAGTTGAATGCATTAAAAATGTATGGAAAATTTTCCTAAATGATTCCTTTGTAACTTCTCAGTCCTAAGTAATGAACAAAGTGGGCTGCAGGTGTAGAATTTTTAAAATAATTTGCTTGTTATTGATTGGAGTAAATATCAATTTGTCTATACAATATGATGTATTTGCTATTTAATCATTGTTATAAACTATTACTCTAGACATTGTAGACATTAGTGATAGGTTGTTGTGACTTAGCTACAGTTTCCTTCCAATTGTTCTCATTTTCTAGATAATAATCCTGAAGGATTTCAAACACAAAGATGGAAATTTTACAGAAAAACAGAAAATAGCTCTGAATAAGGTAAGCAATGTACCATATTAAGGAATGCTGGAGTACAGTTTTTTTGTGTAGTTTTTATTTTTAATTTATATAAAATGTTATTATGATCTCTCATCTTAAACAGCTCAGGATGGTTCACAACAACAGTAAAACCAGTAACTATAAAAGAACCATAAAATAACAAAACAGAAAAACAATCAAGCAAAAATACAAACACTGTGTCTTTAATCTTCCCTTAGGATGCCCTGCAGCAAGCTTCAATTACCCTCATTCTATTCTATTCTATTCTATTCTATTCTATTCTATTCTATTCTAT